TTATGTGCTCTCCATGTACTAAGGAACGCCACCGCAGTGGCTATACAACAGATTTCTCATATGACTTGGTCCCCCTGGACTTTTCTCTATCGAGACGATTTTAAACGCAGAAATTTGACTCTAATAAAGAAGTGATTGCCGAAACAGAAGCATATTTTGAAGCCAAAGATAAATCGTTCTACAAGAAAGGTATCAAAATGTTAGAATGTTAGCTTTGGATATGAATGTATCATTCTTGATGAATAAAGTCGAATATTGTCCAAAAGTTGTTGTTTTATTAACAACATCCTACGAACTTATTGAGTGTTGTGTTAAGATGTTCATTATACAGCAATACCTCAATCAGTCCAAATTCACTATAATTCGGCTTCGATCAATCCAGATTTGTTAGAGTAAACCGGTGTTTTACGGTGACATATATACATGAAAACATAGGTTTTTCAGCCTTAAGTATGTGAAAATATATTTATTGAAAATATTTGCAATAGACATTTATTATAGTAAATTTATAACAAAAATATGAAGGGGTAGAAAGTGTCGCATTTATCGGTCATTATAATATCATAGTGTTGTCAGATTTACAGCATTAGATGCTATTATAAATACAGACATGCAGATCATAAGCATTTTCGCATGTTCTCAATTTCTTGTCAGTGGGCAGACATTTAGGTAAGATAGCATGTACCTTTTCCCAGAGTAACAAATCACCGAATAACTTCTTGTAGACCTCTGGTAAGAATTGAAGGTCCATATCAATAAGTTCTAATTTATTGATCACGCACAAAGTGTGACATTTGAGCTCCTCGAATGATGGTATTGTTTCACTGTCGTCTAATTTGTACAAGTACTTGTGATGCACATTCTCTTTATCGAAGCACTCCTTCCTAACAAGGTCGATTAGTTCAAAGTATTCCTCAGCATATTTCTGGAATATTTAAATTGAAAACATTATACAACTTATATATGTTATAGAAATTTACTATTTTTGCGGCGTACGCGAAAGCTGCCAAAAGAACGAACACTGCAACTGTTGCCTTCATACTGGTAGATGTCTTATTCACTTTATGGAATAATACAAATGTTACACAATGACTGCCTTATATAACAAAAACAGTCAATGTTTTTTGGTTGACTAGCTGAGAATGTATACAGGTTTTGCTAGTAGTTTGAATTTAATTTGTTAAATATTTTAATTACCGTATATTTTATTTTATTTTAGAATTAAAAGCGAATTTAGATGAAGTTTGGATTTGTTATTACATATAAGTCATTCTGTTAAAATATTAATAAAATTCTTTTATAAAAGTATTAATAATACTTTCTATCTTTTAAAGTAGAGATGAGTAAAGAATATAATCATAATATAGTAATTTTAGTAATGAAATTATGTAAGTTTTGATATTAATAATTGTAATTTGAGAAATTCCAATCTTAATTCTAAATTGAAATAAATAATAATTTTAAACTGATTAAAAAACTTTTTTTTCAATATATTCTTGTATTTATAAAATAATATTGCACCGAATTAAATTTGTTATTAACTTCCTGCAAAATCTGGTAAAAAATTATAACAACAAAATTAACATTAACAATAAACAAGAGATATTAAGATGACAAAGTATAAGGATTATATTTTAATGTTTCCTCTTAAATCAATTTGATTTCAATTTGTTAGCATTGCAAGGAAATTTAATATAGAGATGAGATAATTAAAATCTACATATTATTTTCAATATTTACATTAATATTCATTATTGTGCATCTCTTGAAAAAAAAATTCTGACCTTTACAAAAAATAAAACGTATACAATATTTTTTATTACCAGGAAAATGCACATCACATAACAACATAATATTTGTATATGTGCAGATTGTTATTGGTGGTAAATCATGTCTATTTAATGAAAAAAAGTTTATATTTATAAATTTAATAATTAACTTTGATTGATTACTTTATAATAAAGTAATAATAATTATTTGTTTTATGTGATTTGTACTTAAAAGATAATCATTCTACAGCACATGAATTTTGATTTAGTTTTTAAAAGGGAGGTCGATGGTGTTGTGTCTCTTCAATTGAAGGTAAGTATATAAAATAACCACAATCACATATTTTAATACGTATGTAATTTTATAAAATTTTATCGATGTTTTCATGATTGTAAATATTATTATGTCATTTTCTTAATACCGTGATAATTACCTTTACAAATGCATGCAAATTTATATCCTTGCACATCTGCTTAAATCAATGGTCACATGACTATATTACGAGTTATTTTTCTAATATAAAAAGCCTGGGTTCTCCATATTTCTTTGTATTCTTCTACAAAACTATCACAACAACATGAAGGCAACAGTGACTGTATTCGTTTTCTTAGTGGCATTCGCCTACGCCGGAAAAATAGTAAGTAAAATAATATTCCTTTCTTGAATTCAATAATTTGTGTTCATTGTTTATATGTTTTTTAGCACTATGCAGAGAAATATTTAGACCGAATCGCCACTTCTAGGACCGAATGCTTTAAGAAAGACGGTTTGGACTTGAAGTACTTTGATCTAGTTGACGACAGTGAAACTGCACCGACATACGATCAGCAGAAGTGTTACGTTATGTGCATGTTCGACAAGTTCAAAGTGACCGACGAAGAACATCGATTCCTACCGGAGGCCTATAAGCAGTATATCGATGATTTGGTGCTTTTGGAGAAGGTGGACACAGCATTAACAAAGTGTCAGGCCAAAGACAAGATACTTAGAAACTGCGAAGATGGCTATGATCTGTACCTTTGTATCCTTAGAAACGTCTAATGCTCCATAAGAAGACCAAATGTTAGAAACACATTGAAGTTTATTTAGATTATTATATAACTCATTATGTTAAGTAATTTTCAAATTTTGTCAACAGTTTTACTAATAAAATTATTTTAGTTTCTCATACTTTCTATCTTTTAATGTAGAGATGAGTGAAATATAAAAAGTAACTTTGTTATTTGTATAATTAAAAACTGTATTATTTCATCACTTTTAATTGTAATAAATTATATTAAATTGTTTACAAAAAAACATTATTTTATTTATTGTTACATATGAGATTTTATTTTTTTCAATATGTAAAACCTGTATACATTCTAAAATGGTCAACCAATACAGTTTTATTTGTGTTTGTATATAAAACAGTCTTTGTGGAACATTTGCATTATTTTACCAGTATGAAGGCAACAGCGACAGTGTTCGTTCTATTGGTGACATTCGCGTTCGCCAAAAAATAGTAAATTTTTATAACATGTTTAAATTTTATATTGTTATTGTTATTTTTTTAGAAATATGCTGAGAAATATTTAGAACAAATCAAGAATGTTAGGAACGAGTGCTTTGTTAAAGAGAATGATAACGAACTCCGATTTTTACCTGAGACCTACAAGAAGCTATTCGATGATTTGGGAAAGGGTTTAAGTGGCATTACATAAATGTCTGCCAGGATAAATGTCCGCTAACAGGAAATTAAAAACGTGCGAAAATGCATACGATCTGCAAGTTTGTGTTTATAATAAAATTTGATGTTGTACATTTGAAAACATGATAAATTTGTATTTAATTTTGACGAATAAATTTACCAAATCTTTTTTTATAATTATTATAACTTATAATTGAGAAAATTTGGTAAATATATATAGTACAGTCTTAATATCGCAGATAATTACATAAGAAAGATATTGAGAATCTTCAAAAAATATTAGTTGTTGAATCTCATTGGATAATCCAGTGGTTTATTAAACTATTGTCAAGATGATTCACCGATTATACTACTTTTTATATCTACTCTTTATATTTGAAGATTTGTGTGCATTCCAATGTTCGTAATGTACCATGGAGCATCAGTGATCTTTCTTTGACTGCCTCCCTACAATTGCATTTAGGGTTTATACAAAAACTGACTTAATTAAACAATGAATCAAAGTATACGTTCTTCACGTATACCTATTTAATAATTGGGATACAATCTTTATAATATTTGTCCATAAACTTAATAAAGCTAGTGAAAGAATTAAGCTAGACGTGTTTGTATAAACCTTCTGTGGATATTTTAAATTAACTAAAAACTTTACAACTAATTTCGGTTTTCATATATTTACGTAACTTTACAATTTTGTGACAATATTTTTATGTTTTTAATAAAATATTTAAATATTCAAATTATATACATTTTCTCTAAAAATCGGATTTTATAGACCGATACCAATTGCATTTCATACGTCCAGATACGTTTTCAAATTAATTGATACATCAGAAATTTATTTTCTTTCAAAACGAGCAAAATATTAGTCAGATTAAGTTCTTAATTGTTTCATTGGTTTTATCTATAATGTCCTCAGAGCAATAATTAATAAAAAGGTAGAAAATTACTGTAAATTGGTAGCATTCATGCATGTATTTTTATGTAAACATATGAGTCAACTTATAATTGGAGCATTAGACGTTTCTAACGAGACAAATGTACATGTCGTAGGCATCTTCGCAGCTCCTAATTTTCTTGTCTTTTGGCAGACATTTCGTTGATAATGCTGTTTCCACCTTCTCCCAAAGCACCAAATCATCGAAATACTCCTTATAACTTTCCGCTTGGAATCGAAGTTCAGCATCGGTAAACTTAAACTTGTTTATCATGCACAGAACGTAACACTTCTGCTGATCGAATGTCGGTATAGTTTCACTGTCGTCAACTTGCTCTAAATACTTCAAGTCCACACCTTCTTTTTTAAAGCATTCTGTTCTAGAAGTGGCGATTTGATCCAAATATTTCTCTGCATAGTGCTAAAAAACATATAAACAGTGAATACAAATAACTAAATTTAATAAAGAAATGTTATTTCACTTACAATTTTACCGGCGGACGCGAATGCCACCAAAATTATGAATACAGTCACTGTTGCCTTCATGTTGTTCTTACAAAAGTTTTGTAGAAGAATACAAAGAAATATACAGAACCCAGGGCTTTTATAACAGAAAAATAACGAGAATTATTACACTATGCAGAAATATCATGTGACCATTTATGTAAATAGATGTGCAAGGATATAGAAAATTTAAATTATCATTAGCAATTCAATATATAAAAAAAATGTATATTTTAATGATCTCATCACTCTTTTAGTTATTCTCAGATTTACAACACAAATTAATTGAAATCAAACGGAATAGTAAAGTAATTTTTAAATAACAATGAATTACACAATTACAGCTTATTATTTGTTAACTTTGATTTGACAAAAATCTGAGAGAAGACATTAAAGTGACAAATTTAATCCTCATACTATATTATCATAATGTCTATTGTTAATGTTAACTTTGTTGTTATACATTTTTAAGGATGCATTTTTCAAAATTATATGTATTTTTTCACGAAATCATTCTCATATTTTGGAAAAGATTTCGACTCTTTCTACTTCGATGTAACTAAAATACATCTCAAAGACATTTTAATTACTCCAACAACAAAATTACATTTATATTTTAATTGTTCATTCATCTCTGCAATGAAAAGTAGAAAGTATGAGAAACTAAAATAATTTTATTAGTATATTAACAAAATGATTTATATAAAAATCTATACAAATATCAATGCGTTGTAAACATTTAAATCAACTTATATTTGGAACATTAGACGTTTTTATGGAGACAATTGTAGATATCGTGTACATCTTCGCAGCTCCTAATTTTCTTGTCTTTGGGCAAACATTTCGTTGATAATGCTGTTCTTCATGTTGTTCTTACAATTTGTAGAAGAATATAAAAAAAAATATGCAGAACCAAGGCTTTTTATATCAGAAAAAACTCGTATTATCGCAGTATAATCATGCGATCATTGATGTAATTAGATGTGCAAGGATATAACAAATTTAAATTGCATACATTTGTATAGCTAATTATCATAGTTGATTTATGGTAAATGAGAAAAACACAAATAGATTAAGAAAATAGCATTACAATAACTACAATCATTATGAAAATTTATAAAATTTCATATAAGTTCACACCTTTTTATTTTAGTATTTTGTCGTGGCCGACCAATTTATTATCATCTATTGTATAAGTAATATGTATATTTGTTAGGTCTACCACTTTCCTATTAATTATGACAAAGCATATTTAACGTATCCATCAAATCTACAAACGGATACTTGTACGTGATTATTTAGAATAACTTATGGAATATTCCAAAGGACGGTTACACATTAAATCGTATAGTTGCATCTATTACTTCACCACATAACAGTCTTCTTCAGGTACTAAATATTTGTGTATTAGGATTAACTAACATTGTTGTCAGAAGTTTTGAAAGATGCATTTTTCAAAATCCATTCTCATATTTTGAATAAGAAATTTATCCATGGATGCCGACACTTTCTCTTTAATAACTAGATCTTCGATTTAACTTAAATACATTTCAATAGAAACCAATTTTTGCTATCAGACAAATTAATTTCTCTGCGGCTGGGAAAGTCTCTAATGTCGTCAAGTATTGATAAGTATTTGAAATTCACGTTCTCTCTCTTCGCGTATTCACGTTTAACTTTGAGCTATATATCTAAAAGAAATGCAAATATATTAGTAATGTGATCAAATTTGGTATACAAACATTAACAATTTTATCATAATTGACTGAAACTATAAGGATAACAAGTAATGTCTTCATATTGTCCGGAAAATATCGACTAATAACTGTTTTTTTTATAAATGAGGCTTATTGAATATAGAAAATAATCATAACTAATGGAAAATAACGCATGAATCGTTGAATAAACATGTTATTCACGATAAATATTAATTTAAGAATTCAGCTTACTTATGCACTTCCTTAACCTCTGCAACAATGTATTGATTTTGATTAAATATAGAAAAACAGCAATAACGCAGTAATGTATATCGAAAATATTCCAAACTGCTCAAAACGAAACTTTTTTTTTTGGTAGGAGAGGATAACCTTCGATAGAGACCACGATGGATTTGTGGCACTGTGAAATTCTTACCCACTAAAAATCTCTCCTCTTCTTCGTCAGCATTCAGGTCCTGTTTGTTGACACTGCTCACGTGTATTGGCTTCCACTGCCAATCTCTGATCTGATCTTCTTTCTTGGTAGAGAGTACATCTAACACATACATAACAATACATAACAATTACGTTCCATTTGTTCACTGACAAAATTTTGCGGGGTTAGAACAACTTCGAGGTTTTCTTCAGTTACATCTTTCCTTGCAGCCCACCTGCAGCAACTGAATTATTCTCGCAATACCAGCACTTTTCGTCCTCCTTCATCGCGATGAAGTGTCAAATGGAATGTTACTTCCCATTGGTTTCTATTAATCCATAGGTTAATTTCTGGGATGAGTCTTCTAATCCAGGGTCCTTTCTCTGAAGTTTGCCATCTTTGCTAGCGCCTGTTGACCTCTCCTTTCTCTCTGTGGCAAGTAGTTTGCTGGATAGTTTCAAGCAATCTTCTATAGCTTTTCACCGTCATCGCCTTTTCCCATAGAGGACCTGCATACTGTCCCCAGAGCTCTTTTCTTACTCGTCTTCGATCTTCCATTGTTTAACATCAGCAAAATGGCTGTAGTAGTCTCCGTTGCACGTAAAGCCACTGTCCTGATGTGATGGGAAAAAGTCAGGCTGCTATTGATATGGACCCTTACATATTTGTTATGTTATGTTTATGCCTGACATTATGAACTTTATTGTGCTGACTTTCCTTCTTCCAATCAGCAATAGCGCTTCTATTTTCTCTGGCGTTAGTTCTAGTTCTCTCTCAGCCATCTACTCTTGGATGTTACGAATGGCCAGATTTCCCTTTTCCATAAGCTCCTACTCTGATTTTGCCACAGCGACTACTGCAAGATCATCCGCGTAACCGTTGACTGTTACTATTGTCGGTTGTTCTATCCTTTGAACATCGTCGTATGCTATGTTCCATAGGTTAAGGGACCTAAAACAGAGCCATGTGGTACTCCGCTGTTTATACGCATTTCAGCTACGTCTTGTGCCCTCGGGATCTTTATCTAGAGTTTGTTGAGGTAACTTCTTATGTTGCACATGTATTTTTCAATTCCCATATTTGTGTACTGAATTAAAAACGTTTTTAACGTCCAATCTGATCAGGAAGCTATGTCAACAACCGCTTTAATGGCTTCAATAATGAATCTACCTTCTCGGAAGCCGGCGTTTAAATTTATACAAGAATATATTCAAAAATTATTTTATTAACATTTAAAAAAAAATGATCAAACTTATTAGACGTTTCTAAGGAGACAAAGGTACAGATCGTGAGCACTTTTGCAGCTCTCAGTTTTCCTGTCTTTGGGCAGACACATTGTTCATGCTGTTACCACCTTCTCCCAAACATCCGGATCATCTATGAAGTTGGAATCGATGTTCTTCATCGGTCAATTTGAACTTCTTGATCATGCTGGAACACTTCAGTTGTTCGAATACGACGACAGCGAAACTCTACCATTAATAAAAAAATGTTATTTTACTAACTATTCCTCCGGCGTAAGCAAATGTCACCAAAAAAAGGAACAGTAGTCTTCAAGTTGTTCTCAATTTTGTAGATGAATAGAAAAAACATGCAGAAGGCAGACTATTTGCATCAAATGAACTCGAATTATAATAATATGGTCATATGGTCATTGATAAAAAAAGATGTTGTGATTGTATACATTCGTATAGCTAATTATCATAGTTGATTTATAGAATCGAAAATAAACAAGAAAAATACGAATATATTAAGAATTTCCACTAAAGAAACCTAGATTTTGGTCATATGAAATCATTTTAATTTGAAAATTATGCGATTCTATATATGATATACAATAGATTATATATTTTCTATGTGTTCTTGTTTTTATTTATATTCTATATAATTACGTTGCATTAATCAACTAAAAATATACGCCAATTAAAATATTTATCAAATTAAATTTAAATTATTAGCTTCTTGCAAAACCTGTATACATGCTCAATTTCGTATATAAGGCAGTCATTGTGCAACATTTGTATTATTCCGTAAAGTGAATAAGACATCTACCAGTATGAAGGCAACAGTTGCAGTGTTCGTTCTTTTGGCAGCTTTCGCGTACGCCGGAAAAATAGTATTTTGTTTAAACATATTTAATTTTTTTATATTATTTCTCAATTAAATTTTTATTTTCTAGAATTATGCTCAGAGATATTTGGAACAAATCGAGACTGTTAGGAAGGAATGTTTCGATCAAGAGAATGTGCATCACAAGCACTTGCACAGTCTCGACGACAGTGATAAGATACCACCATTCGAAGACCTCAGGTGTCACACCTTGTGCACAGTAATCAAATTCCAATTGATCGATAACGAACTTCAATTCTTACCTGGGGCCTACAAGAACCTTTTCGATGACATGGAGCATTGGGGAAAGGTCCAAAAGGCTTTATATAAATGTCTGCCCAATGACATGAAATTGAGAACATGCGAGAATGCATATGATTTGCAACTTTGCATTTACAAAAACATCTAATAACACAAATTTACAACGTCTTCATTTTTTAAGCAAACATTTACATAATAAAGATGCATTGAAAATCTTCAAAAATTATATTTACCTACATCAAATCCTAGATATTTCATGTAATATTCATCTAAGGCAGCGTTTTACAAACTGTGAGGCGCGCCTCCCTGGGGAGGCGCGGTCTAGTCTAAGAGGAGGTGCGAATATTAGTAGCAGTGAGCAATTTTCCAAATATCTGCTAAAGTATAGATACATTCCTGTGCTCTTATTCATATTGCTGTAATACGCGTTCAAAGTTGAAAAATTGAAATTAGAACGTTCGAAAAAGCAGTGTTTTCACATTTCATTGATTTACTCGAAAAATATAATAGATAGAATGAATCCAATATATGCATATGAAAGCTGAATGTTTGGGGAATCCAGCAAGTATAGATACTCTTATCGATATTGCTGTAATACGAGTTTCTTTTATGAAATGAAGGGGGCGATGAGGCGCCAAATGATTACATACTTTTGAGGGAGGCGTAGTAACATCAAGTTTAGAAACCACTGATCTAAGGCAATCCGGAACCGCTTGCGGCTCTTTTCGGTAATAAGTTGCGACTTCCAGTTTTTAGAGCTGGAGCTCAGTTGGAAAAAAAATAACGATCATAATATCTACGTATATTTGCATAGACTTATAGACATAGACAAGCAATATCTTAAAAATTGCTCTTTGATCCAAAAAAGGTCTTCTAAAGTAATTAAATTATTATATAAAATAACATCATACAGCAATACCTCGCTTCAATCAGTGTGAATTCATTAGAACAAGTATTGAAAGTATTCAAAACAAACTCAATTTTCATTCAGAAAAATAAAATCTAAAATATTAGTATTATTTTTTCCATACATATATTATTATTTTTTTCTTTTTATTTATATTGAATAAACGAGAAAAATGAATATTTTATTAATTAATTTTTTTTTATTAGTTAACAAAGCGCACCTTGACACAGTTTTTGTTTTGTTTCGCACATTATATATGCAAATACTTTTCATAACACACATTTAACAAATAGTAATTATATGGAATAACAAAATAAATCGCATATTAACGAATTATTTTTAATAAATGTTTTCTTAAATTAATTAATAATAATATGTTATTGGCCAAACATCGATACATAAGAAGAAGAGAAAAAAAGTACAATTTATACATAAATAAATTTTAACATACAATACAAAAATATATATTAATAGGCTGTCCAAAGGGCTAACGACAGAGGTCTTTCCGCCAGCGAAATAATATCAGTATTTTAATAATAATAATATACAATGAACAACAGAAGAATAAAGAAAAAATATATAAATATATATAGAGTTGTAGTTTCTTTTTTTAATAATCAAAGGATGAAGGGTGGAAGGGAGTAGTTGTAGGGTGTTATTTTGATTTTTGGGGAGTTCTGAATAACCGTGGAGGACATAAGTGAATAGAATGCGGAGATGATTTCTGGAGATGGATCCGGATTTTGGAAAATGAAGGAGAGAAGACTGGAGTTAACAATGGTTTCCACAAACAGGGAACAGGAAATATTATTTTTAATTATATAGAATTTAATAAGGTGGGATTTAGGGTGAATGGAATTTATGTTGGAATATGTTTTCTTATTTATGTATGTTTTCATGTTTAAGTTTGTTTTTAAATTGAATATTTTTAAATTTCAAAGGTCAATAAACTTTTGTAAATATATACACTAAAATGTTTTAATTTTTATAGGAAATAATGTTTTTATTACTTTATTTAGTATTTGACTGTTTTTTCATATGGCAATTAACTAAAAAAAAGCGGCTGTTATTCGACATTAAGTAACTCTATAAGAAGAAAAGTCCTTGCTATAATCGTATGTTAATTTTTAAAATTAATTCGCACATTTATCTCTTTCACTCTTTCGCACTTAATGGTTACCAAATTTAATAAAAAAAAAACGAAGAAAACAAAATTGCCAGTGATCGTATATAAGAGTTAAACATCCATTCAACCAGCATCACAATATTCCGAAGAGAGACAAAATGAAGACCATCCTCGCTACCTTGCTCGTCGCCGCAGCCGTCTGTGCAGCTCAGAAATTCGTAAGCATTACATAAGAGAAGTTTTTGAAAGTTTTATTATATATTTTTTTTCTCTTATTATTTGTAGCAATTATCTCCTGAAACTGCCAAACTGCTCGCAATTGCCCAGAAGGATTGCGCTGTCAGCGAAGGCATCGATGAGAAATATTTGGGAAGGGTGAACAGCGCCGAAAATTTCCCGACCTACGAAGAAATCAAATGTCTCAGCCAGTGCGTCTTCAAGAAGTTCAACGTAATGGACGATGCCGGAGAGTTCCATGACGAGGTCATCCACGGCTACGTATCCGATCCCGAGAAGTTGACCAAAATTTTGGCCGTCGTCAACAAGTGCAAAACCAAAGCTGACACCGCCTGCCAGAGGGCCTACGATGTCCACAGTTGCTTCTTCAAAACTATCAACCAATGAATAACATAATTTATACATTATAAATAAAATATATATGCTTTTTTTAATATTTTCAATTTTTATTAATCAGATACAATACCAAATGTCAATACTGATAATCTCACAGCTGGATTTAAATTTGGCGCCATTATTTTGGCAGGTCTAAAAAATGAATGCGTGTGATGTACGAAATAGGTAAAGTTTCGCAGTTTTCAAACTTTGTGGAATTTTCTGTCCCAATACTGATCAAAAAGGAGTTTTGAATTCGAAGATTTGTTCGAATTCTGGACAGTAAGTCACCCATTAGTTCTTGTAGTTGGTATTCATTCGATAATAATTTGATGTGATTTCATCTATTAAGCCGTAATTAATATTCAAAGATGAAAAATGAAAAATTAACACGAAAAAGAGGTGTTTTCACATTTCAGTGATTCTCTAGGAAACTATAATACATAGATTGGATCCACAAGATGCATATGAAAGTTGGATATTTGGGGAATGTAACGTGTATTCGCACATTGCTGTGGTTTCGTCTATTTGGCTGTAATTCGCGTTCAAAGTAGAAAAAATATTATTTTTACTTACCAATTATTGGAGAGAAATATATCAATGGTGCATTCATTTCATATATTCATTTCCTATGTTGATGGAATTAAAATTATGCTAATATAATAATTTAATTCAATTTGTTCTGAATTTGATTAAACAATGCATCAAAATTCAAATTATTGTATAACATTAACGAACTTATAATAACTTTATTTCCATTTTTATTTACGCGTTTTATATTCGCCTTAAAAAAAAACCACGTGGAACCGAAAATCGCGTAAATTTAGGGACGCCTGTACATATAATAAATGTAAAACAAAAAAAATTGTAAACAAAACTGGTTTTACAACTTTTTTTTAAAATTTATATAAGAAAATTTACATACTTGTCTCTCTTAATTTCTCAGGTGAATGTCACCCAATATAAACACATACTTTTATTGGATTATGTAAGTTTCTTTATTTATTCTCTGAATTCATATTTGTTCACGATCCATTACATAGAAAAAAGTAATTCAAATTAATTTGTATTTTTTATATTCCTTTGCAACTATGTATGTATACTAATAAACTTAGAAGCAAACTTGTAGGTATCCATGTATAAAAATAGAAGTAATGGATAATATAATATGTGTTGTGCATGTTGATGTTTGTGAGTAAATTGCAAAGATGTAGCGGACAGTTGTAGGAGAGAATAAGGAGATATAAAGATGAAAAACGCACGTGGAAATGTTGGAATAACACGGGTCAAATGAAAAGTACATCCATTACCATTAACCCACTTCTTTCTTGTGCCGTAATATAATGTTTCTGTAGATTATATATGTTTTTTTTTATAGATTTCCAAGCTTCATATTTATTTGGTTCTATACCTTGTATTACTGACGTCAACAAAGATAATGAGAGTAGTAATTGAAAACTATTGATTTTATTCAATTATCCTTCTTTGTCGTAAACAACAAATACATAGTTTCAAAGTTGAAAAGACAAAACGAATAGTGTAGATTATTACAATAAAATGAATTATTACCTTTAAGTAAATAAAAAAATGTTCAATTTATTACAAATAAAAATTGTATTTAAACCTATTTTATTGTATGACTCAGTTTATTTGTTGTACTCACGGTACATTTTAGTTATAAATAATGAACAAAATACGGCAATGGTAATTTATCGGGTAATAAAACGTTTTTAACAGTTGCTATAAACGCGATATATAGAAAAGCGTCGAAGTGGAGGACCTCTGCACAATTTAATTTAGCACCGATAAAACACACTAATTTCAAATTGTGAATCGGCGTAAACTCCGGTATTCTAATTTATTGCAAATGTTATTTAAACATTTAAACTTTAACAAATTGATTATAATATTGCAGCACGTTACAATCAGTCATTTGTATTCTTTTGTTGTTATTCTAGTAATTATTATTATTCAAAGTTATGTAATTATATCAATTATTACGCAGAAATTTTGTGTTTGAATATATGCAAATTCATGGATTAAAAATTTATCGCTTCATGGATCAAAAGTGACAGTTAACGCATTTGTCAAATGTGTAACTTGAATTTGACGTACTGAACTAATTAACATTTTGGCGGAAACTGCGAGGGTGTTCCAGAAATTGGTTTTAAATGCTGTAATTTTACCCGTTGAAGTGTGACACGACGTCGGACGTGGGATGAATGTGGAATTAGGGAGGACTGCAATGCAGGGCGGTCGCACATGGTCGTGAAATTGTCGTTCTTTCTTGTCGATGCTGCTGAGACCGGCAGAATTGGCCGCCCCCTGCGATCTTGAAGGAATAAAGGGAAGGACGGGAAGGGTATATAGAAGGTAACATTTTTTTTTTGCGGATAAGGTCTCGTACCGTAGTAATGGGACAGTCGTTCCATTCCACGAATAAAAATGATGGTTATACCGCTCAGTTTTAAAAAATCATAGGATTAAACCGAATATTTGAGACTGGTATTATTACATTTAGAATTCTTTGATTTATGTTATGAAATTTTTTGTATACGCATAAGTAAACAAAGTCGTTTGTATCATTCCAAAGATATTATTTTTCGATAAATATGAAACACAATAAAATAGGGAATTTATATAAGTTAAAATATATGTAGATATTAAATCATATAAAAGAGGGTTGAATCTTATACAATGAAACGTTTTGATATATTTTATATCTGGATAAAAATGTATAAAAAAGTCAAAAAAACAATAGTGTTTAATCCTCCACTTTCATCACTTAGCTTTGAACAGTTTCCACCCTTATTAATCAATTAACACTAAACGTATTGACGTTTCATGTTTCAGCTGTCACCTTGTCTCAAGACAAAGAACTGAAATACACTGGATAAATACATCTAGATAAAAATGTATAATAAAAGTTAAAAAGTTAATAGTTTAATCCTACACTTTCTTCACTTAGCTTTAAACAGTTTCCACACTTAGTAATCAATTAACACTAAACGTATTTACGTTTCATGTTTCAGCTGTCACCTTGTCTCAAAACAAAGAACTGAAATACACTAAGCAATTGGGTTTTCAGTACAACTACAAACAAAGATGTTGGGTCGCAAAATGACAGCTGTCACCTTGTGTCAAAACAAAGAACTGGTGAAATGCTCTTAGCAATTGGTTTTCAAAATGACAGCTGCCAGCTTGTGTCAGAGCGATGAAAACTGTTAGCGATTGGGTCGCAGTACAACTACAAACTAATATGTTGGGTCGTGCGGCAAAAACGTTGATAAACGTTGTTCTAACCAACTAAATTTATGAGAAATTGGCTTTGCAGCTAAACTTATATTATTACATAAATGTCGCATTAATTAATATTTTTCTTAATTGATGTCACATATGAATACAGTTTTTCCGCTTGTTGTACATATTGAATGGATATGAAATAATTATAAGAGGTCGTAATATAATCAATAATTTATCAAATGACTCCATTTTCAGATGATATGTGGGTCACATGTTTATAATTTGGATGTATAAATGTTGCTTAATTAGGTCAAAATTACGTGACCCAAATGCACGAGGACGAATGAATAAATAAATGAATGTACAATTCTTACAGGTATACATTATTAAATTTCAAAGAAATATTTTTTCAAAGTGATATTAACTTTATTATTTCTTCTATTATTACATATAATATAATATGCATTTAGGATATTTTTACTTGATGGTGAAAATTAACAATTAAACATTAATAATAACTTCTTATTTATTTATATATAAAGCTATACTAAAATAATCAGTAATACATATTCAGTAAAGTTAAAAAAGAAAGCTAAATATTTTAAGTTAGACATAAAAATAACTTTTTGACAAAACTAATTTATTGACAAATTGGGCTCTCAGCGACTCGAAAAAAAGTGTAAAGTAAAATATTTGAAATCAGTATCAATCAATGAATTGAAGGTTGATAACACATTGTGTTTTCTTGTTTAGATTAATTGGTTATATACGTGAAGTATTAAAGATTTAAATGTTTCGTAAAAAATAAATCCAAGTTTACGTAATATAAGGTCGTACGCTTCAAGGGGAACAAAATTAATAAATTAAAAAGGCTCACGTGCAGCCTATCTGCAAATCTCATATTTATAAGGTATATACGGAAATAAGTCTGTATACACATAGCAGGAAAACGTTCCCTTAATATAATCATCCGGCTGCAAAAAAAAAACACGTTTTTCACAGAAGAACATCAACATTTTTAAGGTCATTTGTTTAATCTTGTATCCAGAATGGCTTTAAGCAATCACTGTTTTCATACACAATAGTTAAAAAGTTAACTTCGATCAAATTATTTATGTAATTGTATAATTCTATTATATTTTATGTTGGAATTTTATAAATGTATGAAACATATTGTTAAATAACAATTGTTATAAACGAAATCTGCATAAATGTCACAGTAAAACAAGTTATAAGACCAGCAAAATGAATTATTTTGGAAAGCAGCAAAGTTATATTTTCATGGTGATCCAATTAATTAAGAAATAATTAGAGTACAGAAAAACAATAATTCAAGTTATACTGCAAAGACTATAGGCAACTTACATAACTTAACACATTGTTGTTTTTACATTAACATTTGCATATGAAAAAAAAAACTCATTTGATCTACGACATTGTTAAAATTTGCTAATTATTTCAGTATTGGAATCAATGCTTTTGAAATTATTTCTAAACTAAATCAAGATATGTTTCCTATATAGACAAAAAAATCTTTAGTTAAATAATACTATTTTATATATCAGTATGAATACAAATTTAATTAATAGATGACAAACATAATTGTATTCAAAACAATGAATATTGTAACGTGTAGTAAAGTGTGTGTAATCATAATTTGGACGTGGAAAAATTGCGGTGGAGCATTAATTTGTTATATTGAAAAGCGCAATCGAACACACCTTCAATGAAGCAGCAGAGTTGGTGCGCAGGAGCGAGCGTCGCGACGCTGGGATGGGATAACGGCGCTCTCCTGAGAGCTTCAGTTTCCCCGTTTCATCCAGAGTGCGTCGTTCCAACCACCCTCAGGCGTCCGAAGCAAACAAAGAAGACATCAATCATCCAAGGTAAAAGAAAATATATGTACATAATTATCATTGTATGTATTTCTCGTTAAATTATAAACATTTAATATTTCATAACATTTAGAAAATTAGTTATTTCTTAAAATAAATGAAATTGTATATAAATTAGCAATAGAACTTACAAATTGCATAAGTTTTTTTTTAATTATAAGAAAAAATAATTAGAATTTATTTTAATTACTAAAAAAAAGTTTCTACCTAAAAAAATATTGAAAACTATAAGAATTGTAACAAAATTAAGAGAATACTACTTTTTTCCAACATAAATATGTTGGAAAAAAGTAGTACTTTCTAATTTACACTTCTTTTTATATTAAAAGGATAAGTCTGTAAACTTGATACTAATTGCTTTTATTTGAAATTTAATTTGTGGAAAGTTAGGGAGATTCGAAACGAAGGCTTTGTTCCATTTGAAAATTTGTTTCGAAGGATTTGGTTTGTGCTGGAGCAGGGCCAAAGCCTCATAAGCGGTTTTAAAATACGAGAAATTTCTAATTGCCCGATAATTTCCCACTGCGCTCATTTCCACTCCATCTTTTTGGCTCCGTATGCTATTATCCTTGAAAATGTATCCAATTTCTGGCCAAAATGTAATCATAAAGATCAAGATCCACTTAAGCACAATATATTATATAAGAATAATTACGATACTTATTTTGAAATATTGCAGAGAAATAATATTTTTAGGTCGGAATAGCCAATAAATTATGTAATTAATCTCAGCTCAATAAATTTGTAATATTAGAAATACTTATAAGCTTTTCAAAATTATTTTCGACATATCTTTTTTTCAATTACAAATTTTACATTTAATATTATTTATAGGATATGAGTGGATTTGAATGAAAAAATGATAAAACACTACTCTACGTTAATTAATTAGAACATTTCAATTATAATTTAATTATCCTATGCAAATTAATTAATTAAATGTTTATGAGTTTAATTAATCTAAATAAGTGTTGATTTTAAATATCCATGTTTGTTTTATGTAAATATGTAAATCTGCATAAATAGCAACAAAAAAGTTTTAAAATTAAATCGGAAATTGTTTTGTCCTTTGCAATATATCTTAAGATACATTTTAATAATCGCATGTTCTTTATGTGTGGATAGATGTAAATTTAAAATAATACTATTATCTAGTATAAACTAGCAAAACTTGCGTTTATGAAACTGTAGTTGTACCTCGTTTTGACACAAGGTGACAGCTGTCATTTTCTCATTTCATCATCTCAGTTTTGACAGCTGTATTTTTGTTTTGACACACGGTGAAAGCTGCGACGCAATCATCATGAAACTTTGTTTTATTTGGTAACGTATGCGGTCAGTAAATATCGCTCGGCTAATATTAGTGTTTCATCTGCCTATTTAACATCCGGATACGAAGGGTTTTAATGAAAGAAAAGAATGGTATTTTATAAATAGCGTACAGAATTAGCAATAAAACCTATTTTTAGAACGATCGAAGTTCCACGCAGTTACCCGTTAGAAATGAAACTGCAATAAACTGGTGAAAAAGAATGCCCGGGGAAAACGGGAGAAAAATCAATTCGAACGACCGCTTCCCAGAATATTGCTCAATATTACCCTCTTAATAGTCGATTCGCAAATTCCGCATTATTGGTTATGATTTTATATTTCCCTGGATAAGAATTTCGCATATTCCCAATCTCGATAAACGTTCCTATTCTAATCCTTTTCACAGCTTAATGCACCGAGTACACGATTTGGAAATAACACGGTTTTTGTCGAATATTGTAAGTTTTATAAATACTAGCCAGCAAATTCAAAAACCATTTCCTGAAAAATATACGTTAAAGATTGATTGTCGAGAATTTTATATTTATTTATATTAAATAAAATTGTACAAATTTTAATGATTATTTTTTTTAGAATTTGTGAGTATGAAAATTTACTAAATTTCTGTGAATTTTCAAACCCATAATAACGAGTAAACATTCCAGCCTCCACGGTTTCAATTCATATCATCGATCCTTGTCCTCTCCAGAGCGTTGTGTAAATATTCTCAAGCGCAACTCTTCTGTAAAGCTACCCACGTAAAATCCTTTTTAATGATGCGTATATTTAAATCATGTAACATAAATATTTTAAACATGATCATCATATGTTCTTTCGAATGTACTAAGATATTAATTTTATATTTGATATTAGTCGCAATTTAAGATAATAAATAAAATCTTATAAATACGTCTTAATTTTACATACATATTTATTTTTGATAATAAAATTGAGTATAAGAAATGAAATTGAAAGAACTTGTGGCATTTCGATAATATTTAGCAATAATTTAATTGTAAAACAGTTTAGAAATTCATCTAAAATCAAGTTTATTAAGTTACAATGCATTTGCAAATGTATGACCGTAATACATTTAAATGCTTTAGATAGCATGACGTGAGTCTATACTGAATTCCCATGGTTCTCCTGATGAATAATTCACGAGACAGACATGCACCTATACGTAATTAGATAAACCCTTCCCTGTTGAATTATAACGCGAAGTCTCTTATGAATAGGAAGCAAATTAGCAGCAAAACCACTACATCGCAAACCTTAACATTAGAAAGACTCCTTCACAATTTTACTAGTACTCAAGTTGTGAATACGATGTAGCAGGCGTACAATCCAGGACTTTACTTCTCTTCACTCGTTATGCGCAATGTCGCTACTGACTCACTTACATTTTTGTTACAATTGACTTTGCTCGCTAAGCGAGATTCTACTGTACATTCAAAATATATTAAAGAAATACACATAATTTTTACAAACAATGAGAATTATAATAACATATAAAGTGTGCTTAGACGGTGCTTCGTGTACAAAAATACAAATTATACAATATCTTAAAAGCCGGCTTGGGCGTGAGTTCCTGAAGTGTGAAGATTCAGGGCGCCAATTCCTTTTATTAAGAGGAAGAACTCTAATACTGCTTCCTTCTCCGACGGTGGGCATTGGCTTCTCGAGAGCACCAACACCGTCCTTTGGAGCACACAAATATCTCTTCTCCACTGAAGAACTAACCCGTTTTCCTTCGCGGTTCAATGTGGTGTCCACGAATTTTGGAAGCATAGTTGCACAGTGGAGCGTAGTTGCAGCGTTGTCTATCTATTTTACCAAAAGTATTTTGTTGATTTCTGTGTATAAAAATAAAACTTCTTTTAAATAGCAAAAACATTTCCTGTAATATTACGGGATTTTACAAATTTTCAATCCCGCGAATTGCAATACATTGCTTTTTTTTACAGTTTTTTTTTAAATATCTAAGTAATTTATCAGCTCGCAAAGTTTATAATTGAATTTCATTTTATTGGAACGCCCACGGTTTACTATAGAAACATGGATCCCGTTTCGAGAAAAGTTAAATAAACTCGCCGTTTTATTATAGAGAAGAGGCGTCGAGTGATTTCATGCAATACTGCGATGAGAAAATATTACAATGAAGGTTTCATCTGAATTACGAAGTAAAAAAATGAATTGCTCGTAACAAAGTTTAATATAAAATGAAAATAAGTATTCTTATAATTTAATTAGAAGAAAACTATACGCAATGACTGGAGATAAAGTATTAAGAAGAGTTTGTGAAAATGTTTGTTACATTTAGTAATTTCTATAAGAACTATCAAATTTTAATTAATTATTTTATCTATGTTTGCAATACTGTAGAAGGATCGGTTTTTAAACTTAAATATATTAATAAATGTTAAGTACTGTAAATAAATATGATTTAAATGGAAAATACATTCATGTAAAACTTTAATGCTAATATCGATTATTCCATCAACTATTCAAAATAAAAAAAAACATCAAAAATAAGACCGTAAACTATAATAAAACATAAAAAAATATCGATTATAAGTGAAGCATTGAAAGTATTAAAAATAGAGGACGAATTCAATTACACAATTGCATTGTATTTGAATTTGCTGCAAACCCAAAAATAGCAGCGCAGCGAATAAATCTCATGACATGTTCGTGTAGTTCACATTGTTTTTTGTGTCTGCAAAAAGTATCGAATTTCAATAGCAAAATAATGGAAATTACGTTTCCACATAATGCATGTGTCCCTTTCATTTCGCTTTCGATTTCTTTACAATCTGATCGATATCTAATAAATTTATTACGATGGACAAAATCAATGTCTCTCTCTATATATTGAATATTGCATCAACGCTGCTGACTCCTATTTCCCCAAAAGCTGACAGATCTGCAGACCTACATCGAAGCCCAGTTTCCGTGCTTCCAATGGATTAAAGATTTATTGCATTACATATTCTGTCATTTACATTCAAAACTAGGCGAATCGATGTCACTTTACAAAACAGGAAATCCTTTTAGTCCTGCGATGTTATTAAATTAAAATATATCTTTTAAGCGTTATATAATATATTATTTTACTTTTTCTTATTTTATCATCTAATAATTTGAATTATATACGGTTATCCGGTAATTTTTCCCTTATAATTGTTGAAATTGTTTAAATATCTTCATTTGAAACATCACTTTCAATTTCTGAATAATTAAACTAAATTACCGGTATATCTTATTACAATTTACCGGTAATGTTGAGCTCTTTATTATGTAATGTTTGACTTCAATTGTGAAGTATCTTTTTGGAAATATACCATGATAATTGCAAATATTTTATCTGTAACCCATAAATTTAAGGAATTCTTCAAAACTTAATGAGGTTTTATTGGCTTCATTCATTACACTTTTTTTTATTTTCATTGTTAATATGAATATTGACATTTTCCATAAAAAATCTTAAAATAAAAGTTATATAAGAAAACGGGCACCATTTACGAACAACTTACAAAATCATTACGTTTTGACATACAGGGTGGCCCAATTACACTGCAATTTTTCAGAACGTTGTATTTTTTTATTTGAAATTGGATTTGATTGAACCAAAACAAAAAATCTTGAAAGATAATTAAATTCATTTATAATTTTCCTCT